GTATATATTGATAAAATTTGGCAAATTTATTTATTTCATCCTATACTATTGACGTATGGTCAAAAAACACTTTTTACCTTCCCCGTAGCAGCAAACCTAAGCACTCACTAAATCTAATGTTATTTAAATAGGGAATAATATGTCTTATTTATGGAAATATTTTAGTAAAAATGTAATCAAACGAGTTGAAATTCGCTTAGTCTGCAGGTTTGCTGCGGCGGGGGTATTTCTGTTATTTTATGGGAAAATCCCCATAAAAAAACAAAATTACTTTACTAAACATTTTTTCACTGTATTTAAGCTACACATTAATACACCTACATAAGTATGTGAGTATTCATTTTACAATGGATGGTTTATCAACTTATTAAATTAGAAAAAAATTGGGTTTGTAATTAACTTTCTGGTTCTGAGGAATTAGATAAGGGTTGCAAGGTATTTTTTGCCTCCTCATCTTGTGAAATTTGTTTACAAGGAAAATGTTAATTGCAAACATTTACAGTATGCCTACTAACTTTACTAAAATCACTCTTTATTTAAGTTAAGTTAGTAGGTTTATGTTGGCAGATTGAGAGGTATTCAATCTCCTCCCCTATACTTTAAAAGTAACATTTCAACAAAGTTTTTCATTAATGATGTGTTTTCCCAACAAAAAGTGTTTTACATTCACTCTGGGTAGCATTTATAATTAAGTTGAGAAGCTTTTACTGAGTGAAAATCAAGGCTCACTTCCCAGCTAGGAGCAACGTTGATTTATCACATGAATATTATACTTTAGAGGGAATAGAAAAGTTTGAATAAAATACTGTACTGTACTGTTAGTATTTTTGTGCTTTGTACACAAGCTGTTGGGATTTTTAATCAGATGAATAACACAAGTTTTGACTTTAAAAAGTTAAAATGAAACTTGTGGTTTCATTATTTTTATCCATAAATAAAAAGAAATGATAGACAATTACCATATTATTTCTTTTTAATATGCATAAACTATTCTCATAGATTAAAGAACCTAGTTCAGTGTTTGATAAATCCTATCACAGTAATTCATTTGCAAATTTCACTAACAAAATGCTAATATAATAGTGTTTAGTTGACAAATGAAGATGTTTTTAACAAATAAAATATCTTTAACATAGTGTAAAAATTTAAAAAAAAATTAATATTTTTTAAATGTTTAACTAGGTACTGTACAACATTCTTTTAACCTAAATAGGTAAACAAGTAAAAAAATATAAAAAAAACTTATGTAAACCAAATACATAAATACGTATAACAAAATTAAACATTAAATAAAACTACGAAATAATATATTTTGCTAGTAATTGAGTTTACTTGTAATAACGTGTATTTAATCAAAATACAACATCTATATCTTACTATCTCTCTATTGATTCAAATAAAAATAATCAAAAGACGAAATAGGTTAAACAAGATGGAAGTTGAATAAAATTTTGCTTATTAAAATCATGTTGAATAGAAGGGAGAGGGAATCAATGAGTAAAAAGTGCTGAAGCTGCCTAATTCTATCCCTTCATTACTGAGGAAAAGAATGGCTTATCAAGATCTGCAGATATTGTGGATAGTCAGCTTTCTACAGTCCATTGCATAAAACTACCTACATATGAATTTTTAAATATGGCCATACAACTAACTTTCAAAATCCTTTTCTTTTTCAAACTGCAAAAGATTAGAGAAGGATGACGTTGAGAATTACTAATGTTAAGATTTTAGTATACAAATAATAAAAACCATTTTGTCTCAAAATATTGAACAAATACTTTTATTTATTGTCGTTAAAGTTCTTAGGATGGAGCTAAAATCAAAGTTTGTTAACCCCCAATTGGTATAAAATTTAAGTCCAGCAACTTATAGATGCTCATAATGCTCATGTGTTAAAAAAAATTGTAAAAATACAAAATTTGGACCCAACCAACGGTCAATAGAAATTTTTAAAGTTTTTGCCTGGGAATGATCGGACCAGCGACCTTCATATTTGAAGGCGAACACTATAAACACTTGGCTACCCAGACAATTCTTTGCAGCTGTATAGATAATTATTGATAGAAAAATGCACTACCCGTCATTAAGTAGGGCCTAATCATTGACTTTTCATTAGGCCTACACTCTAAGACCTATAGGCCTACATTTATTAGAAAGCCTTCAAGTTCGTAACGCAATTAACGGCTGCCTTAACTGTCGTTGTGTTGCATCTCTTTAATTGAAGGAACTTGAATGTCCTGATTTGAAGAGCACTCGACCACAGTTTTACCATATTTTGTTGTATTTGAACAGTTTTATCAAAAACATATTGGTTACCAGTTGGTAAAACATGTCAAGAGTTGAGACGTTACCTAGGTATCTAATTCAATGTAATTATACGTTTATATTATTCTTATGACAGGATTATTATTGTCAGGATTATAGCAGTTGCATATTTTTTATGAATGTGAACTAAAACTGTTAATACTCCGTAGATATTTAAGCCACGATAAAAGGTTTGATTTAACCTCACTTTAACAGACTAGAAAAAACAGACATGAAAAATATTTCATTAATTAAGTGATTTTGATAGTACGTAAAATACATACTCCTCGTCCCATTTAATGTTTGTGCATCATAAACTAACTAAACCATTTAAACTAGCGTAGCAGATTACTTTACTGAAATAATTATACGCTTAACTTAACAATTTTGGAAAAACAAACTTGTTGATGCTGTTATGTAGATGCAATTGCTTTAACGTTTTAGTGAATATTATGCAAAGCTGATTGACTTTGCGATGTAAAAGTGGCTGGAATACCAAAAATGGAACATAAGATGCTATAGATGGCTAACAAGAATTATTTGTTTAAAATAAGTACTCCTGATTTGTTACTTTTTTGTTGGCCTTTAGCAAACATATTTGACTAAGCGGGAAAATTTGTATTTTTATCTAATACATCGGGGTGTTGTAGGCTAAATTTATAGTAAATTACTTAAAAAACATGATTTGCACCAAATTTACAAGCAAATTAACTCTGGACTGGTTTAAGAACAATGTCAAAAAAGTTACATTTCTTAGAAATAGCACACATACTAAGAAGGTCTAGCTCACTTGGTCTCTAGTTGATCCAGAGTCTCTACAGATAGCTAATATAGTTAGTGGTATGTGTAGATATAAAGTCAATGGTGGTATGTTACCTTGAGGGTCACCATGTCAAAGACCAGATGGGTCTGGATGGTCTCTAGTTGGTCCAGACACCAGTCAGTCTAGATCTTCTATAGTCTCTACTGATATAATAGTTAGTGGCACGTTACCTTGAGAGACGCCATGTCAAAGACGGACCGATGGGTGTGGATGGTCTCTAGTTGGTCCAGACACCAGTCAGTCTAGCTCTTCTATAGTCTCTACTGATATAATAGTTAGTGGTACGTTACCTTGAGAGACACCATGTCAGAGACGGACCGATGGGTCTGGATGGTCTCTAGTTGGTCCAGACACCAGTCAGTCTAGATCTTCTATAGTCTCTACTGATATAATAGTTAGTGGTACGTTACCTTGAGAGACGCCATGTCAGAGACGGACCGATGGGTCTGGATGGTCTCTAGTTGGTCCAGACACCAGTCAGTCTAGATCTACTTTAGTCTCTACTGATATAATAGTTAGTGGTACGTTACCTTGAGAGACACCATGTCAGAGACGGACCGATGGGTCTGGATGGTCTCTAGTTGGTCCAGACACCAGTCAGTCTAGATCTTCTATAGTCTCTACTGATATAATAGTTAGTGGTACGTTACCTTGAGAGACGCCATGTCAAAGACGGACCGATGGGTGTGGATGGTCTCTAGTTGGTCCAGACACCAGTCAGTCTAGCTCTTCTATAGTCTCTACTGATATAATAGTAATAGTTAGTGGTACGTTACCTTGAGAGACACCATGTCAGTGACAGACCGATGGGTCTGGATGGTCTCTAGTTGGTCCAGACACCAGTCAGTCTAGATCTTCTATAGTCTCTACTGATATAATAGTTAGTGGTACGTTACCTTGAGAGACGCCATGTCAGAGACGGACCGATGGGTCTGGATGGTCTCTAGTTGGTCCAGACACCAGTCAGTCTAGATCTACTTTAGTCTCTACTGATATAATAGTTAGTGGTACGTTACCTTGAGAGACACCATGTCAGAGACGGACCGATGGGTCTGGATGGTCTCTAGTTGGTCCAGACACCAGTCAGTCTAGATCTTCTATAGTCTCTACTGATATAATAGTTAGTGGTACGTTACCTTGAGAGACGCCATGTCAAAGACAGACCGATGGGTCTGGATGGTCTCTAGTTGGTCCAGACACCAGTCAGTCTAGCTCTTCTACAGTCTCTACTGATATATAATAGTTAGTGGTACCTTACCTTCAGAGACGCCATGTCAGAGACGGACCGATGGTTCTGAATGATCTCTAGTAGGTCCAGACACCAGTCTAGCTCTTCTATAGCCTCTACTGATATATAATAGTTAGTGGTATATTACCTTGAGAGACGCCATGTAAGAGACGGACCGATGGTTCTGGATGGTCTCTAGTTGGTCCAGACACCAGTCTAGCTCTTGTATAGTCTCTACTGTTATATAATAGTTAGTGGTACGTTACCTTGAGAGACGCCAGACGCCATGTCAGAGACGGACCGATGGGTCTGGATGGTCTCTAGTTGGTCCAGACACCAGTCAGTCTAGCTCTTCTATAGTCTCTACTGATATATAATAGTTAGTGGTATGTTACCTTGAGGGACGCCAGGTCAGAGACAGACCGATGGGTCTGGATGGTCTCTAGTTGGTCCAGACACCTCAGTCTAGCTCTTCTATAGTCTCTACTGATATATAATACAGTAGTTAGTGGTACGTTACCTTGAGAGACGCCAGGTCAGAGACGGACCGATGGGTCTGGATGGTCTCTAGTTGGTCCAGACACCTCAGTCTAGCTCTTCTATAGTCTCTACTGATATATAATACAGTAGTTAGTGGTACGTTACCTTGAGAGACGCCATGTCAGAGACGGACCGATGGGTCTGGATGGTCTCTAGTTGGTCCAGACACCAGTCCAACTCTTCTATAGTCTCTACTGATAGCTTCATGTAAGCATCATCTGCAACAAACACATTAATATCAGTAACACATTTCAGCAACGAATACAAGGATCAGGCCTTGACCCTAAAGGATCAAGAAACATGGTGGGATGAAGTTTTGGAAAATAGTTGTTCTTGTTTTGGTGTGGATTTGTTAGATGTATTTTTAACCCATTTCAAGACTATAAAAATGGTGTAAAAAATTGATGAACACACTCGAACACAAAAAAGTCCTTAGTTGACACACGAGGAATTAATTATATCATAAATTAAAATTATGGTCAAATGAAAAGTGACATATATTTTGGAAGACATTTTATGAACAATAATTTACAAATATAATAACTACTTTCCACGTAGGATGGTGAATACAGTATACAGTATACCTGGGTAAACATAATTAATTTTTATCAATAAATGTACATGAAACATTTTTTGTTTTCTGTACAAAATTGGATGCCAATATGACTTTTACTGATGATTCTTTGTCAGCATTGAATTTTTCTAACCCAAACAAAATCTAGATAAATTAAAACTTATATAACACGAGAAACCCCATTAAATTATGCTTCAGAAATACGAGATATCCATAAAATCTTGGTATAAAGTTGAAATATATATTTTAGATTATGCCCCCTAAAAGTGTCTATCACGTTATAACATTTCTCAGTCAAAGCACGGTACTTTTCACTTATAATTAAATCAGCCTGAGATATGCTGAATGCAGAATGCTGAATTCCTTTGAGACCTGCCTTGGCGAGAGAGATCAAGTCGAGTTAGGTTACAGTAGACCTATTTTACTTATAAAATTCTCTTATTTTATTCGGAAACGAGTCCTAAAGATTTATTTACAATGCATTTTTTCAATCATCGCTATCTCTAATATAAAACATAACTGCTTAACTTACTGTACTGATTTTACAGTAAACAGTTTTAAAACATACCGTTCAACAAAGGACATAATTTAGTAGTAATTTTGGTTATAAACTACGCCAAAAACCTTTAAGTTAAATCCGATAAGGGTTTTACCCATTGCAGACAAATAATTGTGACACATTTATTTAATATTCTGGGTCACTAACAAAATAGAGATTCATTTAAATTTTAAATTAGGTTTTAATACAATTTAATTCGACACGGGATAGAAAGAACGTAACCTAATTATAAGAAACCTTTGGGTTAGTTTCCGCCCCATTGTTATGCAGAATATCCATCAAAGCTTTTGTTTTGACCATCTAAAAATTTAGATCACTATTTAAAATACATTTACTATTTAATCTAACATCAAGGTGTTTCAGCGCATTTGAAAGATTTATGTACTATAATCCTAGAGGATTGATGTCTCGAATATTGTGTAAGAACCTTGTTGATTTGAATGACTTTAAGTTCTTATTAATAAAAAAAATTTCTTTTAAGTATATTTAAATTTTAAAAATGTTCTCTTGCATTTTGATAATTTGGTGTATAACATAAATACATTTTATACGTTTAACAGTAAAAAAAAATTAGTTTTAGGTTTATTTAATTTCGGCTCATAGAAACATTAACAAAAGTTTTAATATGATGGATTTAAATAATAGGCATCTGTTTCCCCCAAAATCTATATAAATAAAATTAGAGTTTTGTCTGTACATTGCTCAGAATTATATACTTTTAGGTTATTTTTACGTTTTATACATTAAAGAAGCAGAAACGAGTCTTATCTCAATTTCTGTCTGTCTGTCTGTCTGTCCCTTTGTCTGTAACACTCAAGATGGCATTTTACGCAATCTTCTCCGTGAAAACCAGAGTACATATCAAGATCCAAGTCATTTTAATGTATTCACTGGATTGGCGAGAGTGTCTTTAGTGATTTAAATATAGCCTCACTACTTTGTAAATAAAATTACGGACGTTCAAAAATGCAGTTTTGTGCGATTTTTGTCAAATTTTCGTCCAATTTTTATCACATAATCGTCTATGAAATAACGAACAGCTGTTCGGATCAAGATTATTTTTTCTAGCTGTCAATGACATGTTTACAAATGTTGTTTACAAATACCGCAACTATTTCGAATCACGTTGTGAAAGCAAATCCCAACCAAGTGAGATTAAAAACGTTTTTCTTACATAACGGATTTAATTAATCGCAAGTGCAATAATACAGTCTAATAGTGTAACCGTAAATGAAATTAAATAACTAGACATCGTCCAAATCGGAACCAGAAATTCTTTGAGTATAAAATGTTTCTTGAGTTTTGACAACCAGAAAGAAGAAGACCTTGAATCAGTGTTGTATAGGGCTGTGACACTGAAATGATCGTCGCCAATAGCTTACAATTTGGGTAAGGTTGCTTTTTTTGTTCAAACTGACACCGATAAGTTTACGCTATAACTTTTTACGAGAAAATCCAAAAGCAAGAGATCATTAACCTCGGGACTAGATATTAATATATTCAATTGGTCCGATTTACTATAGTTCTTAGGTAGGTTCTTACGTAGGTACTGGTTCTTTTCCTTAGAACCGGTAGTTTACAAATTTGATATCGTTGGTGTTGCACCTTATTTATTAGAGCCGTCCGTATTCAATTTCAGTGATGTCTTAACTCTGTATAAGTTTTGCTTTTTCTGTCTGGATTCCAAATCTTAGCTTACCCGGTATGCTAAGAAAATGATAACCTATTTGAGTAAAACATTTGTTGGGCAAACCATCATGAATTGTTTACGCCTTTATATTGTTTATGTATCAATAGTTCGTGGCCTTTGTTGGATTGTTGTATTGTGTTGTTTTGTTGTATGTTGGTAACGCATTAATGTCCTTATTTCTCAGTGTTTCACGGAATGGACAAGAGCACCTTTGATACTGAAAATGTCAACCGGAATAAAGTGTTAAATGGTGAGGTTGAGGTAGTACTTTAAATACGTTTAAGTTAACCGATGTGGAAAGTAACTTTCAATTATAGGCCAACTTTAGGGCTACGCTTCATGGATCTATAAAACATTTTTTAGTTTAATCATTGGACATATGGACCAACACGATCCGGGTGACATTTAATTGCGAAGCATTTATTTTGGCTTGAACTGTCAGATACTGTATTTGCGAAGGTTTATATATAATAGTTTTGCCAGCATATCTGCAAATATGCAAACTAATTGCTGTTCTTAATCTTAATATAAGAAGGTTTCAACTGACTACTATAAGATCCCCGTGCGTAGAACGGGCACACAGCTAGTTTACACTAAGCAAAGCTAAAAGGATGAACGCACTTAATCTTCAAGCATACCGATTTAATAAAAAAAATAAATTATTAGAGAACAAATCCGACAATGACAATATACTATGTATGACAGTTACAGCACTACAACTTTTACGCTAATTAAGACATAATTTATAATATGTTATTTGTAAATTCTGTTTAAAAACTACCATTAAAAATACAATTAAAACAACCGTAACTAGTAACGTAGTTTTTAGTGGAAAGGCGAACAATCAATTATAGAGCTACCAATCAAGAAAATCGTGGCAGGTCTTGAAGAACAAACTAATTATAGTGACTGTTTGAGCAGTAAGATGGATGACGGCAAACTTTATCATTGTATAAAAGAGAACGATTTTCTCGTTAAAATTTCATATTTTGTGATATGTGGCAATTATAATCCTTGCGAAAGACCAAGGTGATTTTACTTCCAAGGCAATCTAAATGTTAGTTTCCTACAGGAAGTACTCATGGCATGATCTATATCCATGACCACTGTCTATTATCCTTTTTTAGTTTTGATTTCCCCAGAATGTTGGTTTAAGTTAGTTGTTGGATAAATAAATCGATGTCCGTGAAATATAAGCATTGTAAAATATGTAACAACATTTGAATTAAACTAGCCTGATCTGACAATTCTACGGTGTTTTTGGCTGGAGGGGAGGGGTTTCTAAAAAGTATTGGTTTCAAGACAAGATAAAAATATCTGTTCATATTTGCAGACTAAATTTATTATATTATTTAAAAATTTATTATATTTCTGCCCACCTTATACCGGCTATTAAGATATCAAATGAGCTCAATAGAGTTATAGTCCAGTCAAGAAAAGGTTTAACCTCATTCATATTTATTTACACTTTTATTTTCATTCATAATGGTCACCAATAGCGTGCTAAAATATGGTGTTTTTCTCAAACTGTCGGGGTGAGAACAGTGGTGCAAACTAAAGTAGGTATTTCGTTGATAATAAACATTAATATTGTAACTATCTGCCAGTCTCTTTAAGCACAACATAACTATGTTAGTTATGTTAGTTATTTAACTAAATTTAAGTTATGTTAATAATTTTTACGAAATTAATTTCACAGCTGATTACAAACAAATGAGATTAAAAGTCTAAAACGAACAAATCAACTTAGAAACAATTAGTTTTGCAACAATGGAAACGTTATTGGCAAATTAAGACCGATTGAGGATTCCATTGTGGTGCAAATAAATGAAATGGAAAAAGCTTCGTCCAAAGGTGGACATTTTTAGAACATAAAGGATATACTTTAAATTAGTATGTAAAGCAGAAGTCTGTAAACATAAAATAGGCTAAAGCTGTATTATAATGAATTTTGTTTACCTGGATAGTATTTGTTGTTGATTATTATTTTGGTTTTATGTTAGATATATAAATTAAAATTTAACTACAATATATACAAGTGGTTTGTATTTGCCAGATAACGGCTGAGTAAGAATCAAATATACTGTAGACTCCATTGAAAGCTACTTAAACTTGACTTTAGTTTATTGTGAAATCTTCGTTGAAATAACTAGGTCACAATCACAACATAATTTAACACTCTGTGAAACATAATGAAGACTATTCATCAACTTGTGCTCAACTTTATTCACCTCATTACATTTAGTTGAGAAATACAGTTAGTTGCTTATCAGCTTGAATTACTTCGAGCTCTGAGCTTTTACCTTGCGAGTTACGATTGTGTATTAATTTTAGTTCAATACAACATCAAAAGTAAGATTTTTTAATTAATTCAAAATAATTTCACTTTTGACAA